CTGGGTGTCCTGGAGCCATTTCCCTGGCTGAAGCTGGACCAAGACCTCAATTTGAGGGCATCAGAGCCTCCTCCCACCACCTGGAAGTTTGTTGCCCCCCACTCCAGAGCCGTTTCAGAGCAAGGCAGTGGTGGGTTCTGCCCATGGTCACTACCTGATCTCCTCGTTGATGGCATCCAGCTGCTCCTGGAGCATCATGGCCAACGTCTGGGCATCCGAGTGCCCACCAGGGGAGAGCACATCCATGGAGCTGAAAAGTGTCTCGCGGTCATCCTCATCCACATCGGAGATCTCGGGGTCGCTGTCGAAGGCATGAGGCCCCGTGGCCAGGACACCGCCAGCCTGGGCCTGCTCCCAGTCCTGGGGAAGAACAAGGTGCATGGTCCTACATGGCAGCCCGTGTCTCCCAAAGCCAAACTGGAGACCTCCACGCAGGAGTTACAACTCAATGCAAAACCCCTTCCTACCATGTTATCCCCACATCCAAGGACACGTGGGGCTGGCAATCAAGGCAGGAGGAGACCCCAGCCCCACTGTGACCCCATGAAGATGGGTTACCTTGGCTGGCTCCTCTCGCCGGGCGGCAAATCGGCCCTTCTGTGCCCGAGGCAGACCCGGGGCTGTCCCGAAGGGCTCGGGGGGGCCATGGACCACGGCACTCAGTGGGAAGCGCAGGTCCGTGGCGCTGCCCATATGGGACCTGGAGACAAAGAGCCCTGTTGCAGACATTGCTCTGTGCAGGGATGCCCTCGTCCCCAGGCTGCCCCCCTTGCAGCCCAGGCTTGCTGAGGACAGAGGAGGAGGCCACCCTGGCATGCCCACCCCACTGATGTTTGCCTGTTCTGCATCTCTTGCCAGCCTGGACACGGGGGCTTGGAGCAACCTGCTCTAGTGGAAGGTGTCCCTGCCCTGCAGGGGGTTGGAACTGGATGAACTTTAAGGTCCCTTCAACCCAAACCACTCTGGGATTCTATAAATGAAGCAAAACCAAGGCTCCAGGAAAAGGTGCCCCATTCCCCCCGTGCTCGCCCTGGAGATGTGCTCACAGACTGTAGGAAGCTCAGCCCTGGGCCCTACCCTGCTGCTACCTCCCCCCTCTCTGCGGTACCCACCAGGGCATCCAGCCAGCCCTAGAGAAAACCACCCTGTGCAGTGGGGCTGCTGCGAAGCCATGGGCTGAGCAGTCCCCTCCTGTCCTTCCTCTCGACAACAGCTTGCACCTCACATGTACAGCACGTCTTGTGCCTGTCTTCTCCATCCCCACGCTACAGAACAGGGGCCATCCAGGGAGCTTTTCTCCTCCTTTTTATATTTTCTTTAAGATTTTCATGTTAAAAATGTTGAACCAAATCCCATTTGAAAGAGATCTTCCAAGCGCAGGGACATGGGCATCATTTGGGATCTTCCAGCAGAAACTGGCTGGCACTTCTTCGTCCTCCTCCATGCACAGGATGGTGACTGTGAGCAGGTCCCCATGCCAGTGAGAGCAACACAGCAGCTATGGGACACGAGGTCACCTTTTGCCACCCGTGCTACTCGTTGCATACCCCTCCACGTTGCCTGGTTACTCCTCCTCACCCTGAAGACCCAACCCCAGAGCTGAGCCAAGCGTGTTCCCAGAGCACAGGGTCATCACTCCCTGTGTACATTGCCATGGGAGGCTCGAGGGGGTTTGATGTAGGATGACAAAAGCAGTTGTCCAAGGCAGACCAGTGTTCACCAGCACGGTAAGGTGGTTTTCAGTGCCTCCCTGCCCCAGCATCCTACCAAGCCCAGACGAAGCCACTGACAGGAGCAGCTCTGCTTGGCGTCAGCTTGGTGCCTGCACACGAAGGCACAGCCCAAGTTTCAAGGGGATTTAAGCTACGGAGCCACTGACAAGCTGCTCCTGAGCTAAAACCAGATAAAGGCGCCTCAGACAAAAGCTGACATTTCAGCTGGGGGATTACTCTGCCCTCTGTAACTCAAGCTGTCTGCTGCTATTTCCTCCCAGAAACAAAGCTAAACAAAAATGTCCATCTTGTTCTTACAGCCCCATACAAAGAGGTCTCACACATGCTCCGCACGCTCCTCTGGCGCTCAGCTTCCCTTCAGCCTCACAAACTCTCCCTCTTTCTTCTCTCCACAACAGATATGAGGCTTCCAGGCCTCCTCCTCCCTGCACAGCTGCTGGCAGGTTTGAAGCTGGTTACACTGGCTCCTTTCCATCTTCTCCAGCATTCCCGAGAGGGGAATTTTCCCCACTGGTTGTCGCTCTCTTGGATCCCTTGTTGCCTCTAACCCACATTTAAGATGTGCAGGAGAGGATGTTGTGTCCCAGGCGGCTGCAGCAGCACACTGCAGAGCAGGTTGTGCTGTCACCCTCCTATTCTACCCCCCTGCTTTATCCCCCTGCAGTGCTGGGTACTCTGGTCAGTGCTGGGGGCTGAGGCCTGATGCACTCACCTCTCTTCCTGGTGCTCCGGGCTGCTCCCCATCTCCCAGATGACTTTAAGTGAAAAGGTAGGGGGGGACCATTGTGGAAAGGAGGGGAAAAAATGGCGGGGGCTCATTCTTCTTTGCTTGCAACACCTCAGAAGAGATTCTCCTTCTCCACCAGCCCATTCCCAGCACACCACAAGGGGAAAGGTGTTTGGTGAACACCCAGCTTTCATAGAGAATTAAGGCCTAAGTCCTTTGTGCAGTAAAAGAAACGATGCCCAGTGGGTTTTCACTCTTAAAAGAGCAACTTTTGGACTGTTCAGTTGGGCTGGGCTGTTCTCAACAGTCTGTGTCCTGTGATGGGGACAGCGCAGCCAGAGCTGACCCTGCTGCACGAACCACCCTGCAGCTTGGTGAAACCAGAAGTGCCTGATGCCAACAGCATTTTGGGGCCAAAGCCATGGGTGCAGGGTGCAAGCAGGGCACGCACAGGCTGGTGGGGTCCTGCCCTTACCTTGTGTGCACGGTCTCCACAAATGTCCCACTTCTGGTCTTGAGCTGATCAACCTCCAGCCTCAGTTTGTCGATCTCATCGGACAACCGCCGCTGTTCGGGGTGAGACAAGAGACAAGGGTTAGTTTTGCTCTGAGAAGCAGCCACGTTTGGGCTATTTCCAGGTTTATATTTCCTTTAAAACCCCCCATCCCAGGTTTAAAGCACCTTTGGCACATCGGAAACAGCTCATGCAGGCGACAGTGAATGGCGATGCTGGGGTGAGGGAGGAAGTGATCACAGGCCAGACAGACAGACACACGTGTGCTTGAAGCGATGCTGCTTTGAGAGGTGAAGGAAGATCAGTCCCACTGGGATGCTCTGGGTTTGCTCCACACCACACATGTGGGGCCAGCAGTGAGGGACCAGTTGGCCAAATGTGCTGCTGGTCCTGTCCCTCCTGCTGCCAGTCCCATCCTCGCAGGAACCTGTGCCTGCACCACGCGGCTGTGGTGTCCTACAGGAGATGTGAGCTGGCAGGGAGATGGATCTTCCACCCCAGCAGAAACCAGTCCCATGGGCAAACAGGCTGAACCAGGGTGGGCAATGTGCAGGCAGCATCATGCAGGTCGTGGAGCTTTGCCTCTGCCTGGAGCTCAGCAGCCAGGGCTGGGAAGCATGAGCAGTGCCCACATTGGGATGCTGGGAGCATCTGGGAGAGCAAGGCCCTGGGCAAGGGGGAAATCAGCCCCTCCATCCCCCCAACCATGCGTGAAACATGGGGCATATCCCAAAAAATCCTATTGCTTCAAAGAGCTGTAACCCTCCAGCTTTCCAGCACAGGCCAACGTGGTGGACTCGTGTTGCAGACCCTGCCTGGATGCTTTATCTGAGAGCAAGGGAGGTGTGAAGATCTACAGGGCCTTCTGCAAGCTGAGCATGGAACACATCTTCCACCAGTTGGAGTAAGGGGGTTGAGAAAGCCTCAGGAGTGAAGGGGATGTGGCTGCTTGAGGTGAAGCCACCCCAGCCTCGGTGCTGTCCTCAGGGAATTGGGGATGGATGAACGTGATAGAAACATGGAGATGGGACTGAACATGCCTGTCAGGGAACCGAACTGGGGGTCTCCAGAGGGGTGGGTGGCAGCTTCCATCCAGCCACTGCATGGGTTAGTTTGTGGCCTCCTGCTGCTGGGTGCTTTGGGATCCCAGCTCCTCCAAAACTAAGGCATTTTAGGAGCCACGACTGCCACTAGCCAGGAATTAGGAGCGAGGAGGTGCAGTCACTGGGGCAGGCTCCCTGCAACCGCATTTACCTTGTCGTGCTGGTGCTCCTCTATCTGCTTTTGGGTATTTTCCAGCTCTTGTAACAAAGTGTTCTTTGAAAAACGAAACAAAAGAAAAGGGAACAAAAACAGGAAAGAAAAAGAGAGACCATTTAGGAAACGGCCTCCTGGGAATGGCCAGCATGGGACCGCCTGGCACGTGGGACAGCGATGGCCACGAGCATCTCCTCACCTACCTGTGGACGGGTCTGCTCTGCAAAGCCCCTGCTCCTCAAGCAGGGCTGCCCTCGCTCGGCTCCTGCCCCACACCAGCACCAGGCCATGGCCATGGGGGGCAAGTGGTGATTAGAGGGTTGAAGGACAGGGCTCCAGCGTTAGGAAATGCATCTGAGAGGAGATGAACTCCTTGCGCTGCATCAAGGGCAAAAATGTCCTCTACATCTAAGCTAGTGAATATGCAGGGGGAAAAGCAGATGTGTGTGCAGCTGCTTGACCTAATGCTCTTTTTTGGACCACTTTTGCCTGCAAAGACCTGGAGAAGCTCTGGGGTAACCAGTGGCAGCAGCAGGAGGCAGATGATGCGCCACCACTCTGGTCCTTGCTGTTTGCTGGGGTGGAAATTTGGACTCAGCCCCATGTGTCAGGTCCTGCTCTTTACCCAGAGCCACTCGGACCTATCTGCTGAATGACTGGACACATTGGTACAGCCACATCTGCTTGGGGACAGGAGCTGCAGAGCAGCAGCAGAGACAGACCCAGTCCTGGAGGCATCAGCTGGGGGATTCAAGCCCTCTGTGCTCTGACTTGCTAATGGGAGCCTGGTCCCTGCAGGAACCCAAATAGAGGTGAATTATCAAGGCCCGACCTCCCATTGGCTCTGTGAAGTTCATCCTTGCTCTGAGCAACCTGCTCTCCCAGCTAATTGCATTCATGCTGGGAAGCAGCAGCAGCTCCAGCTGGCTCCTCAAAGGAAAGCCCAGTGCCCCAGTGTGGGAGCTGGGAGCTGTTCATGGGCTCTGCCCTGGCTTGGAGCAGGCAGAGCAGCCCGGGCTGGAGATAGGGAGGTTTCAAGGCAGCATGAGGAGGAGATGGGCAGGTGGGAGAGGATGAACACTGCATTTTCACCTGCAAAATGCAGCAGGGTTTGGCTTGGACAGCCAGAAGAAACACAGGGAAGTGAGGGAGCAGAGCAGGACAAACCCTGCTGCTGCTGGAGGTGGAAGGCAGCGTGGAGTGGGTGTGATGCAGGGCACACTTCCCAGTGCTCCCACAGGCCCCAGCGCCTGGCTGGCATCCTGCATGGGATCATCTCTCCATCCCTGCATGGGATCATCTCCCATTCCCTGCATGGGACCATCTCTCCATCCCTGCATGGGACCATCTCTCCATCCCTGCATGGGACCATCTCTCCATCCCTGCATGGGACCATCTCTCCATCCCTGCATGGGACCATCTCTCCATCCCTGCATGGGACCATCTCTCCATCCCTGCATGGGACCATCTCTCCATCCCTGCATGGGACCATCTCTCCATCCCTGCATGGGACCATCTCTCCATCCCTGCATGGGACCATCTCTCCATCCCTGCATGGGACCATCTCTCCATCCCTGCATGGGACCATCTCTCCATCCCTGCATGGGACCATCTCTCCATCCCTGCATGGGATCATCTCTCCATCCCTGCATGGGACCATCTCTCCATGCCGCCATCCTCTCCTTGAGGTGGAGCTGCAGCCTCTCGTTGGACTCGCTCAGGAGCCGGTCCACAGTGTCCGAGAGCCGCTTGTTGTGCTCCTCATTCATCTTCTCCCGCTGCCGGGCCTGCAAGAGCCAACAGCAACCTGTGAGCATCCAGGGACAGCCACACTGGGGGGACATTCCAGACCCCAGTGGGTGCTGGTCCTCTGGATTTATGAAGCTCTATCCTAGGCCAAGCACAGGGGGTGATGCTGGAAGAGGATGGATGTACATGCTAACAGCAATGCTTGGATGCCTGGGAGAGAGGGAAATCACAGCAGAGTGTCATCAGCTCCAACGTGGCTCTTGTTTAAGAGATCCTGGATGCAGAAGATCCAGATCAGGACCCATCAGGACCCCCCTGCCCAGGCTGACCACCACTTACCCTGGCCAGCTCCTGGTTCTTCTCCTCCAGCTGACTCTCCAGCTGCCGGAGGTGCTCCTCGATGCTCCCGTGCCTCTCTTCTGCCTGGGAAAAGCAGAGCAGCCCTCTCGGATGATGCTCCCCAAAAGCATGCAGAGCTTCCTGCATCCCTCCTTCCATCCCTGCATCTGCATCCTTCCTAGGATGGAGGGCTCTTTCCCACTGCCTGCATCCCTGCCATGGTTGGCTGTGTGCTGTGGGCCCAAACCAGCCCTGATAGCAAGGTGATGGGAGCTGGAGGTGCTCTGTGCACGACCAGGCACCCGCTGCAGCACCCAGGAAGCACAGGTGTATCCAACCTCCCTCCAGGCCTGCACCCTCCCAGATCCATCCTGGGTCCTTCCTCTTCCTCCTCACCCCAGAGTGATCCCAGCACAAGCCAAAGGACATCTACCCCAACAGGGCCATCTATGCCTTGGAGAAAGGAGCAGAGAGAAGGGAGCAGAGCCCACGCACACAGGACACGTGGAGAGCTTCCAAACCAGTTCATTGTCCCTGCAGCCATGGGGAAGCAGGAAACAGCACAGCTCCGAGGGCAGGGTGGCCAGAGCTGCCTCCTGCCCTGCTCCTGCTCCCCCTTTGGCTCTGGTGCCCCAGCACTTGCCTTGGTGAGCGCAGCGATGCGCTGGGCCAGCTCCGCCTCCACCTCGGGCAGCGTCTCTGCCTTCCTCATGGTCTGCTGCAGCTTCTGCTCCGCCAGCTCCAGCAGCTCCTGCAGGTGCCGGGCCTTCTCCTCACACTGTGGAACAGGGCAGGGTGGGTGCCCAGCACCAAGGCTGGTCCCGGCCCCAGCACCCACTTCTCCGTCCCAAGTGCCCGGGGTCATGGGGAGTCTTTGGGTGCAGGTTCGGTACCTGGCGGTGAAGGGACTCCTTGTTGGCCAACTCGCTTTCCAGCTTGTCATTGAGGTCATGGATGGAGGTGGCTTCTCGCTGGGCTGCCAGGTAACGCTTCTCCAGTGTGGTGATCCTCTCCTCCATGTCCTCCTTCTGAGCCAGGGCCTGGGGAAGTGAAGGGGCTGTCACATCCTGATCTGTGACCACTAATTTGGGAATACCTGGGCCACCCAGCCCCGAGTCCAAGCATGCCATGAAAACCCTGCTCCACTCTTCATAGCAGAGCCATAAAGGGAGAGTCAAGCAGCATCTTCCAGCATGGCCCCAGCTCAGTGTCCCAGCCCTGCAGCACAGCCGGGCATCTCGGAACATCCCTCAGGGGTGTTCTGCTGATGGGTTTGGGGACAGCGTCCCAAAGGCAGTGGCCTCTTTTGTGGAACCCTGCACACAACAGAAGCTCCAATCCCTCCCCAGTCCAGAGCATGTGGAAGCTGCTGTGAATGCCTCTGCAAGAGGCTTGGCAGTGTGAGAGGGCAGTGTCTAACCTCACGCAGGTCCCTCTGGTACTTGCTGCTCATCTCCTCCGACTTGATCAGATCCTTCCTGGCGGTGCCGAGGTCCTCCTCCAGCTCTGCGACGCTGGCAGCCAACGCGGAGATGCGCTCCTTGGCCTGGACCACCTCGTAGTTCTGCTTCTCCAGGAGCTCCTGCAGCTCCACCACCCGCCCTGCCTCATCGTCGGGGTGCACCGAGCCGCTGGAGAGCC